TCTCTCTCTCTCTCTCTCTCTCTCTCTCTCTCTCTCTTTCACTTGTTTGCCCAGAGTAAAACATTTATTGTCTAAAATTTTCTGTCTTGCTAGGCTACCCTTTTCTGGTGCTTTGGTTAGAGAGAAGAGGCTTTTGTTGGGACTTTTTATATCTGTACCTGTTTGTGTTTCTGAATTGACAGAATCTCCAGCAATTAGTTTGGGATACATGAGGCCTGTAGCTTATCTTCTCTTCATTTTCGAGTCTTCATATGTTTCTTTTATGTATTATATCCAAGTTACACTTTGTAGTTGCATTTAATGGTAGAAATGGGCAAAAATACTTCTATTTCATCTTTTTGGAAGCCTATTCTATGCTGCTTTTTAACTTTATTGATATTTATATTTAGAGTAGCAAGAGAAGCTTTACCTTCTGCTAAAGGAATTTCAAGCATTACTAGAAGCAAGTGAGAAAAAAATGTGAGGAGCGGTGGCCCGGGAGAAAGGACAAGAGGAGGACTGCTCTTCTGTACCTCTGAAGCCACGTTTCACCCTGTCTTTACCACCATTTTACCTCCTTTAGCACCTGATTTCAAGACCTTTCTTTTACTCACTGCCATATAGAGGAAGCTCTGTCTTCCTTGCTGTCCCTACCACCTGTTATAGATTAGTAGTGACAAGCACCTTCCTTGACCCAGGCCCTAACATAGAGTAGAAGGAAAACAGGGCCCATTCATTACAGCAGCAGCCATTCTTCTTTAGAATGGTGCCCTGCAGTGAATTCCGGGGGAAAAAGAGCACTTGTGTGGCTTAGCTCCCTGTAAAGGGCGGCAGCAAAACCCACATATGGAGCCTGTCAGCTTGGACATACTGGAAAGGAGGTTGAGCTCTGCTCAAATGGACAAAAGGAACAATGCCGGCCCAGGCAATCGTGTTCTCTGCACCTCCCTCCTGGCCCAGACCACTTCACATAGAACCTTTAAAATGTCTATGGCTCTTGAGAGAAATGGCACAATTCAGGAGAGGCTGGAAAGCTCAACAGGCAGAGAGAATCCTTTGTGCTGAAAATGCAAATTGTTTCCCATTTAATGGACAATCTCCCCTCTAAAAGACTGGTGGAGTAAATTAGCCATTGATGCTTTGATGGATCCCAAGACTCAAACATGAGGGCTAGCAGTGGAGGTGGGGATTTTCCATGAAAAGAAAGAGAGGACTCCACGGTATTATTGGCAGGGTCTCCCTTGAAACGGGACAGTCCTTGGTTTTCATTTTTCAATCTTTTAATTTTCTATTTATTTTGAAGTTTGTAACTAGATTGTATTTTTTAGAGCAGTTTTAGG